TTTGAATATCTCTCTGTACTCCAATTCCATTCCGATAACAATCACTAATATTAACCATTCCCCTAAAATCATTCATATTAGCGGCCTTTTTGTAACATTCAAACGCCTTACGTTCATCTTTTGTAACACCTCTTCCGAGGCGATAGCAGCCACCAAGATTATTCATGCCAATAGCGTCCCCCATATTAGCTGATTTCTGATAATATTCAAATCCCTTATGTTCATCCTTTTCAACTCCTAATCCATTTTCATAACAAACTCCAAGTGCACGTATTCCATTAACGCTCCCCATATATGCAGATTTTCTATAATAAATGAATGCCTTATGTTCATCCTTTTCAATTCCGATTCCTTTTTCATAACAATATCCAACCATATATATTCCGTTAACGTTCCCCATCTCGGCTGATTTTTGATAATAAAAGAATGCCTTATTTTCATCCTTTACAACTCCAATCCCTTCACTATAACAACGTCCAAGTGCAACTATTCCATCAACATCACCCTTCTCTGCGGATTTTTGATAATAAAAGAATGCCTTATTTCCATCCTTTTCAACTCCAATTCCATTTCGATAAAAATATCCAACATCAAACATTGCAACAGCATAACCCATTTCAGCTGATTTTTGATAGTATTCAAATGCTTTACGTTCATCCTTTTCAACTCCAATTCCATTTCGATAACAATATCCAACATCAAACATTGCAACCGCATAACCCATTTCAGCTGATTTTTGATAGTATTCAAACGCCTTGCGCTCATCCTTTTCAACTCCAATGCCGTTCTGATATTTCCATCCGAGTTCGCGAAGTTCAGTGTCTGTCTGGCCCATGATAAAAGTATGTATCAAAAAAAATAGTTTTTCATTTATATATAGTTTGTGTTTACTAAATTTAGTATTCCAAATCGAAAAATTGATTAACGTTAATCGTCTAGTTAGTCAAGTTGGCAACTACGTAATCGATTGATGATTTTATCAGACAGCCAATCGATTGATCAACCAATCAACGGTAAATCGACTAACGTTAATTGTACATGATAGTATGTTTTGATCTTGTAATCATGCAGCGACATACATCCTAAAGACCTCAATGATTGTGTTGCAAAAAAAGATGTATCTCCGCAGATTATGATGTTATATAAGAATTGGAGATTTTGTATATTTTAAGAATTTTACCAATACTACAATTCTCAGTGGTCATTACGTACATGCTTGTAATTCAATCGTTTTTTGTTTAGAAGTAATAAAGTATGAAATTGTTGCCACTTATAAAGCATAAAGAAAGCGACTTTTTCGAACTGTTTCTGTACCTTTGCCTATCAATTGTGGTGACACTAGAATTACCTTAGGAACTGATTGATGCCCCTGTAATGTAAACATTGACCCCAGTATCACTTATATATTAAATGCATTAAAGCCATAATAATAAACCCTTGCAGCATCCATTGTTTTTCATTATTATAAGATACAGATATATTTATCGCTTATAACCCATTTATTATTAGAACTAAAACCTATATATACTTGCTTAATACTATATACTCAATTATTCCTATCAGCCCACAGACTTCACTTGAAATGTAAAAGGTTATAAGTTAGATAGATGTGTCTTTCTAAAAGTGACGAAAATTCATCAACACATGAAATTGCAATCCACAGAAAACTTGCCAAGCCTAGATTACTCGAATCGGCTTCAATTATATGGCCTTGTCATCATATATTTTACTAATAACAGTAACATAAAATATGCATTGTGTGTGCTGTATTAACATCAAATTCGGCTGAATAATCATCGGTCAATTTATATGATTTATGAGAACAGCTGTAATGTTGATACATATCGTACCGTTTCGAGAATAAGCGCTTCCCAAGTACCACCAAATTTTGTATAATATCCGAAAATAAACACCCCTAAGTATAATAGTATCGGATTTTTTTTTACTAAACAAGCCTTTTCTGTCCTTAAGTAAGTCATTCTCCAGGTCAAAACGATTCTAACGATGGTAAATCTTCAAACCCGGTTCTATAGAATCTTTACAATTGCTTTTCAAAGTTCGGGCGACGTTTGTTTATGTGATTGCAGAACAATTGCGGAAATTCTATTGGATTAATTTTGATAATTTTACTACCATTAGATAGCATCCCTTATAACAAAAAAAGGGTGCTTAATTTCGGAACGGTACGGTATCTACAGTAAGTATGTTGTATGTGCCTGCCGTCTGTCAGAATAAAAATGGGCGTCATATCTAGTGATTGGACGGGTAACCCGGGTGGAAACGGGTGACCCATGAACAATAATTGCAATTGCGAGATGAACTTTTGCGCAAGACTTTACTAAATTTCAATCCAAATACATTTGTATGTATATTACTGTATTAATTGCTTTTTTTAAAAAAAAAAAACTTTTCAAAAACGGATTTTACATAGACTAAGGGTGTTCTCAAGCACTCACTCAATGGATCGGAGGTAAATTTTTAAACGTTACCATACAAACCATCTTTTTTTATTCGAAAATTTATCATTGATAAAGGGCGTTCAAGAATTACTTTTGCATTTTTTACGTATCATAAACAATGAATTCTTAGTAAATTTCTACCCGATCTAAAAAAAAATTACTATTTTATTTTTGATGCTAGACTTTTAAAACAACTATAACTTAGCGGGACATCTATTTTCACTCGGGTAACTCATGAGTCCACCCGACGGGTTGCTTTTTTAACCCACCCGGTTTCTACCCGGGTGGCATATTTTTTGACGGGTCCAATCACTAGTCATATCAAATTTAAATATGAAAACCGATCCGGTTGGTTGAGTTATAATCTGTGCCTGATTAGATATTACCATAAATATTTTAAAGAATTATACCATCTTTTTTTTAAATGTGTTAAATGTTTTTTTTTTTTTTTATAAAAAAGGAATTTCTCTAAAACTATTCAGTAAAAAACTTACATGTATTAACCAATTTTTTGGTCTCAAATTTGATTGACTAGCCATAAAATCCCAGCAATATTCAGAATTAAACCCTAAACCCTAACCCTAACATAAAACATGTACATTATACAAAGTTACTTTAATACTGTACATATTTTTGCATATTTGGAGGTTAATAAATAAGTGACGCAATTCAAAAATAAATATGATTTTTTCAATAGCATTTTTACTATGTTGAATTATAAATCGGAAAAATAAAATAAGATCCTCTGATTTTAACTTTGAAACCCCCTATTACTTACAATATCTTTGAAACTCAATTTTCATAAAAATATAAAAAAATTGAATTACTGTATTTCGTGTAATAACGCCCACCTGCGAGTTATTTATAATACGCGAATGGGCGTTATTTCGAAACCAAGGTGATTTTTTAAATTAACGCCCATGTGCGTTATATGCATCGTACAGAAGATTAATACCCAAGGTCCTTCACTGATTCGGCATTTACTTTAAATTTTCGAATTACAGGTCTATTTTAACAATAAAATTCAATATACTATATAATAAAAAAGTTTCTCTGCACTGTAAGTTACAGTATTATGATAAATTTAAAATCATAAATTATCTGCCATTTTAAAAATTGATACTTTCATACAATTAAATTTTCATACTAATCAATAGGCCACCACTTCTCATTAAGTTTCTTTAGATTAATTCAACTGGCAAGTATAACAATATTTACTAATCGAAGTATATATTTAAAAAAAATGTATACGTCTCTTATTAATTTCTTATCGATAAATAGTCTCTTGTTCAAGTCGATTTATTCAAGTGTACCAATTATAACCCGTCTAAAAAGTCGCCACCCAGGTGAAAATCACGTCGGTTATTCACCCAGGTGACCCGTTGAAGGTGAACCGGGTAACCCACTGAAGGTAAACCGAGTGACCCAGGACGCGTATAAAGTTTTCTAATCTTGGCCCATCTAAAAACTCTCCACCTGGGTCACCCAACGGGTGAGCTATAAGTAGGGATGACAAATGTTTAAACCGTGATTTAGAACTGATGATTGTTTTATTTTTAATTGTTTAAAAATGGTTTAAAATGTTTTTTAATCGATTTAAAGAATATAGCGCTTAATGCTGGACCCAAAATGCAATAATTTTAACTTCAGTTAAATTTTAACATCAATTTCGATGTTTTAAAACTTTTTTTAAAACAATTAAAAACATATAAAAAATGGTTTAAACTGTTTTTTACCATCCCTAGCTATAAGTCATCCGAGTGAAATCGGGTCATATGAAAAATGTCATCACCCGTCCGTCACTCGGTGGGAAGCTACCGAGTGGTACACACATCATTACAGCTCATAAATTTTGGAACAACGCCGATAACCGAATCGATAAGTGGTCAAACTCAGAAACTTATCGATTCGGTTATTGGCAGTTTTTTCAGTGATTCCAGAATTTATGAAAACAGATGTAAAAAAATATATATTTAATTCCGAAACTCTCCGTCGATCTTGCTTGTATTTTACGATCCTGACTGTCTACAATTCTGAAACTCCTTGATAGCCTTCGTTTCTCCACGGGTCACCCGTGGGTTGGTCTACAGGTGACCCGCGGGTTGACCCACCTGTCTTTACTGGTGGTAATATCTCAACCCGGGTTACTCACCCACCCGCGGGTGACCCGGGTGACACCCACCCGGGTCAAAACACTAAATTCAGTTCTTTTTATTAACGAATGGTAGAAATATTAACGAACACAATGTGATTTGAGATCAAATATTTGATCAAATCAAATCAAATCAAATTGATTATGGCTTTGTTATATTAGACGCGTTAATATATGTAGTATGAATTTCAATTGGGTAATTACGCAGCGTGACAGACACCATCACGGGTTCTGACAGATTTCAAATGTCTAGAAGTATAGTGTCCTCAGCTACACTTCGGACAATAAATAGACACTGATTTCGTCCAAAAAAAATTTTCACTCATTATCTCACTTCATAAACGCATCACACAAACCAGATTTTTACACCATATACCAATATAAAAAATATGTCTTCACCCAACATTTCTTCACCTTCCTCACTGGCTTCTACATCCTCTACTTTGACAGAAGAAAGGTCAACTTGCATGATGGCAAACATTATCAAGAAATATAAAACTGAAGAACTTATCGAGAGGTGGGAAGATTTGGATCTCGATAATGATGATTTATCAATTTTGCACAAACAAAAAATTTCAGGTTTCTCTTTTCTGGAGTTAACAGAAGAAAAGTTTCTTAGTATTGGTTTGGCTTTGGGGCCAGCAACAGCACTAGCAAAATCTCAAAAAGCAGAAAATATGAAGCTTCTCCTACAAAAATTGGAATAATTAAAAGACATGCTCTGTAAATACAAAGCAAACGGTGATGAATGTAAAATCAATTATAGAGGCCAACGAGGCAACTCAATGTGAATTTAATTTATCAATATAATCGCAATCGCACGGAGGTTAACAGATAAAGAAATCAATATAGAATTGCAGAGGGATATTTTGGGTAAAGAAGCATCTAGTAGGTTGATTATGCAGAGATCATTGAGAAAGTTAGAGTAGAAATTGAAAGGTTGAAATTAAGCGATATAAACAGTGAAATTTTTCTCAAATTGTCATCAAAACGGCAAATGAAATGAACATAATGTTGTGTAATGTCGCCATAATAGGGATGGAGGATCTTTTGTGTATAACTGAGAGTAAACCATGAAATGTTAAGATTGGTTATCTCCAACAACTCGAGAGCTTCTTCCACATGAACAAGAAGAAATGAACTATGGATAAAGCATTTAATGCAACTATCTATATGAAATTGTGTCAACAGGTATGTGAAAAATTTTTTATTATCACATTATGTACACACATATGCTGGATTCTTTTTCCAAAAGTAGTTATGCTAATTATCAGATTTATTTTAGGCACAGATTGGCATTTTATCATGTTCACTTCCGAAGGAATTTTTTGTACAAGCAATAGTGAATATCAAATAAATCTTACGAAAAAGGCACTTAAGGGTAATTAGGAAAATCTGAGGGAAGATATAAAACAGGCAATCAGTATAGTTGTAGAGTTATTGAAGGATAGTGTGCTGAACCCAATCAGAGCTTTTTAAAGAATACTTTTAAAACTTATATGGATGAAGAATGTCCCGAATATGTATCAAACCTTACTAGTAACCAATTTAATAATCTTTTCCATAAGTAGGTGGGAGGCATCGCGTATGAGAAAAAATTACCAAAAAATAGCAGATAAATAGTTATCCTGCTCACATGTATTTTGTATTTTATATTGTATTAATAAAGAAATCAGACCTAAATGGTCATTTTCCGATAATTAATATTGTGTGATAATAAACACTTTTCCGGGACCGCCGGTCTCGCAAATTTTTATTTTTTTTCTTGGCAAAAGTGATCTGCGTGACAAATTGTCATGGAAACTTTTTTTTTCTTGGCAAAAGCAATCACATAACCTGAAAATTTTTAAAAATTTATTACTTTTTTGAACGAAATCTAGATGTATTAACATCCTGCTTCATAGACCCCCTCCTCATTTATAGGTTCCAACAGTTGTGATATCACTATTATTTTGTGATGCGGATATAATCCGTGCATATCATTATGGGTAGAGGTCGGATCCATGAATATTCATGGTTGGAAATAAATATTCATTGAATATTCAATATTTAGTTATACAAAATTCATGAATAGTCAAGGGTTTGTAATGATATAATTGATTCATTTATATTCATGAATATTTGTGCGTGAATACAATATCATTCAAAATCTGGATATTCATTCAATGCTATTCGTAAACATCAAAACCCACGAATATTTATTGAATAGCCATGATGAATATTCAAAGGATCCAACCTCTAATTATGGGTCATATTATGGCTTGAATTTTCACCCGCATCATTTATTGCAGAGCAATGACTCAAAGAGTCTACATCACTTGCATTATCTCGATTAGTAGTTTCGTCTCTTCTGCTGGCTGGACGATTCATATTTAGATAGTGCTGGTGTTATATTTCCCACATCTCTATTTCGCCTATGATTTGAGGTATTAATAGTACGGATTCTATCGAATTCATATTCAGGTCTCTCCCAAAAATGCATACAAAATTTGTCAAAATATTGCGCACACATTCAACTTTGTGCTTTTTGATTCCCTGCTATATAATTACACATCAACTAATTGACATAAATTAATAGTCATACTAGCTAAGACGTAAGCAAAAAATCTGGAAAATTTTCTCAATATACCATAATTACATTGTAATCCCGAACAAGATTTATAAACTTTTCTTTACATTAAAGCCCGTATTGTGTTATTGATTAATTCTGGTTGCGATGCTATCCCAAAATCTGATTCGATTCCTTCCAAGATTATGATATTCATCATTTCTATTTCTATGCTAATCAATAAGTATATAGATTTGCATTCAATCATTTTTTGATATTTGGGTTCGATAGATTTTTTTTGCATAAGTATTTTTTCGACTAACATAACCACACTTCAACAGTGCTTTAACAGTACTTTAACCGCACTCTAACCGCACTTTAGCCATATTATATTATGATATATTGTATAATTGATTATTTTACCAACCGCATTCCAACCACACTTCAACCATACTTTAACCAGTGTAAATCTATGGACAATCTTAGAAAAGCTTCATATTTAATCAATTTTTTTTCATATAAATGTAGTATAATTGAATACCTTGGACTGGGTGAGCTAATATCTCGATAACTACAGATTCAAAATCAATAAATTTTTTTATTTTAATTCAACGGATTTATAGAATTTAAATAAAAAAATATTTCATCAAAAATGGCCGTGGTGTTTATTTTGATAATCATCTAAATTTCTTACTAGATATTCAAAATCAGTATATATATATATATATTAATTCCGTTGATTCATAGAATTAAAATAAAAAATTTTTATTGATTTTTGATGTGTAGTTATTGAGATATCATCGCTCAAAGTTTGGAAAAAGCTAGGCTGCGGTCTTTATTTTGATAATCGCCTAAATTTCTTATGAACTTGAGCGATAATATCTCAATAACTATATATTCAAAATCAATATAACTTTTTTTATTTTAATTATATGGATTCATAGAATTAAAATAAAAAAATTTTCATTAATTTTTGATAAGTAATTATTGAGATACCATTGCTTAAACTTTGAAATAAATATATAACATTGTTATTAAGGATCGTCAATCTTATCCAATCAAATTTTGTGTAACCAGGAGAATTTTGGGGATGAGTTCGTTTGGAGCACTAGCCCTATATGTAATGCTAAACATGATAAAGATTAACTCTATGGATTTACCTATTCGAAAAAATAATCATTTTATACTTAAATGTTATCACCAAAAACAATACAAACCGGATCATAAGGGACTGAGCTTTGGTAAGGTATCAGATAAAATCGAATCAGAAGTGAAGCCTAAGTGGGATTGATTAAAAGATTACCCAATACTGTAAAGCATCTACGCTCACTTGCAGAATTATCCAGAAAAAATATTAATGTCAAGGAAATGGAAGGCACCTTAGAAGCTTATCCAGATTTCTTAAGTAAAGAACCCACTACAACTCTTGTCTGCTCACCTGTAATGACAGGAAAAAAAAAAGCTTTAAGAATTATTTTCAATTCTTTTGCCAAAGAGGGGGTAGACTGCCATGTTTTGTTTGGATTTCATATCGTAAAATTCTCAATAATGAGACTAAAGCTAAAGTTGGTATATTACAAAATGCAGGATTGCATGTATGCAATTATCAAGAGGTCAAAAGAGATCTAGCTATATCTGATTGGGATCTTATTATTGTTCAGGCTAAGAGTACACACCATCTTTCTCTTTATGAAGGTCATTCATATGTGGTTATTTTGGATGAAGTGAATGCTATTATGCACCAAATGAACAGTGGAATTCATGCTCAAGAATCTAAAAATTCCATGTGAGATTTGTTAAAGTCAGCAGTTCATGTTGTAGCTATGGATGTCTTTGCAAATGAAAGTACATTAACCTTCTTAAGACAATATTGAGATAAAGATATACGAGTTTTTGACAATAAGTATCAACCACATAAAGGTAAGTCTGTAAAAATTCTTTACAATCCAGACAAAGGAGCAGAGGCTATATGTAAAGGTCTTAAGATGCTCGAAGAAGGTAAGCGGGTTGCAAAAAGCTAGGGCTATAGCTGTTCAGTTATTAAAACCAGATGGCTCATATGTTTTATCACGAGTTTATTTTGGTCAAATGGGTGAAAAACAGTATCAAGAGGACTTTGCTGATATCAATGCTACTTGGAGTGCTCTCGATTGTATGATTTATACAAGCATTGTAGAAGCTGGAATTTCTTTTGAGATTCCTAATCATTTATAGTTATTAATGATATCAATACATGAGTGTATGCTCACAAATGCTTTATCGAGTGCGCAATTGTCCACATTATACTATTTCCCTTTATAATAGTAAAAAATCTGGCATTTTCAAAGAACCAAATCGTGATCTCATTCGTGCTAAACTTTCTGCCTTAAGACCTGAAAACTTGCCAACTGCTATAAAAGGTTATTGTGAATGGAACAAAATTGCTGATTGCTATACTTTTGACTTATTACCAGCAGTAGAAACTTATATTGAGGTCAAATTTCAGAGACGCTTATCGGCCAAATATTTTCCTGAGATTCTTTGTAGTCTTATTGCTAGTACTGGAGCAATACTTGAGTTAATTTTAGTAGAAGATACTAAAAAAGTTAACAGGAAAAAAGTATCTCAGAGGTGTGGCAGCTTAGTGAAGTGGTCAAGTCATCACCCTCTCCAAGTAGCAGGTCTAGAGTTCAAATCCCATGGACGATGAAAGTTTGAAAAATAGGCTTGCGTTACGGTAACAGATCTTCATTAAGTTGGGGCTTAGATTAACCTGTAACTTCGG